CACGATTTGCACGATTGCAGGATGCACGATTTGTTACAGAATAACGGTTTTCAACGGTTCATAACTTCGCTCGCATAGGAGATAAGCATATTAGGAATATAAATTCGAAGTCAGCGTGTTATGCTGCATCTAATGGTATGCACCTTGTTTGGATTGGCCACTTCGATTTTTGACCATTCCCTTATAAGTTCTCGTCGTAAATTTCATTATTTTCAAGATGGTAGGAAGTGACGTCGAAGCTATGCCAATTATATAAATATAAATATTTATATAAATATATTTATGAATAGATAGTATATATTGAGTCGTTTCAAAAGTAATTTCGCTTTATCAAACAGGCCGTACAATTGATGGAACCAAGTTTTCTAGAAGATCTTGGAAGCATTCGATGCACCATTTCATTCTCTTTCTAATGGTTGTGTCGTTGTAGCGCAGTCAATGAGCTTACGGCAAATCTCCAAAGTCTGCATCCATGCTTTTTGTGATGGTCAACTTTCACAATTTTTCAAAACTATCATATCAACCCTTAGAAGGAGCTCAGGTAACAATCAAATAGAGCAAACCCTACTGGATACAAAACAACTTTCCATGGCTTGTCATACATTATTAACAGAATTTCAACTAATGCTACCCATTTCCATGATTGGACAGCTAAATCCTCGTAGAACGTAGAAAGAAGAGCAGCTCGGATACTATTCGATGCAGTATTTTCTCCTCTTTCTATAGGGTGTTTTTTGTCTCCGATTCGTTTAGTTTCCGATGATAAGACCCTCATAACTCATTTTTTAGCGAGCCCCATGCTGTACCCGAAAAACTCGAAATTTGATATCTCGAATCCGTATCATTTGCTTTGCAAAATCAATATTAAGTCATATAACATCTGGAAAGTTCAATTTTCGAGTAACTGCTGATGTTTAATGGATTGCGACTGATGTAGGCCTGCCAAAATCCAATGGTTTTGTTAAAAACATTTTAAAAAATTACGGCGAAGTATGAAAGAGAGAAAAAAGATGTACTACAGTCTATAATGTTTGCTCTATCGAACCTTTAAACTCCTGAGGATTGATATGAAAATTTTGAAAAATTGTGAAAGCTGACATCACAAAAAGCATGGCTGCAGACTTTGGACATTTCCCGAAAGCTCATTGACTGCGCTGCAACGACATAACCATTAGAAAGAGAATAAGCTGCATCGAATGTTACTAAGACCTCTTAGAAATCTTTGTTCCATCAAATGTGGCGCCCGTTTGAAAAAAGCGAAACTACTTTGGAACGACCTAATATATATGTCCCTGGAAATTGCAAATTGTTTGATTGCCAACAACTTCTTTGCTTTCATGTCCTTCGCCAAGCTTGAGGCAACAATCTAAGGAGCGAGGTTCAATTTAGATCTACAGTGTGGAGAAAATTGCCGACCGCTCTTCGTCACTGTAGGACCACGGTAGGAAGTTCGACAAACATTTTAGGCCATTGGAGGCCACATTCTCCTCGGAACAAAAGCAAGGTAGAAGTAAGACATTTTCAAAGTATTCAGAGATTTCATAAGAATCGGCAATAAATGATATTTTTTGTGGAGGTGTACTGCCGTAGAGATCGCTAAAAACCTCTTTCCCAGCGAGACCAAAGTTTGCGAGTTGCAATCCTGGGAGCAAAAGCAGGATTTTGCCGAAGTAAATGCTTTTAGATGCAGGCTTTTTGAAGGATTATGAGAGCTGCCTGTGAAACGAAAGTACTCTAGTTAATGTGCCCTTTCCTGAAATTGAGCTTTTTTCCAGCGGGCCCAAAACGTAGGCGTTGTAGTCCTGATATAGTAACAAAGTTAGGTTTTCTTGAAGAGTTGAAGAGAACAATGAGGGATAATTGAATGATATTTTCTATAAAAGTTTCTGCTGTAGAAATCATCAAGCCGTTTTCTCAGCGAGACCAAAATGTGCATATTGCGTTCCCGAGGAATGTAAAAGTGTTCAAGGTAAATTTCTCAGAAACGGATTCAGTAGGGATAAAGCTAAGCTACGAGAAAGAAGTGCATAAAGTGTTGTATTTGCAGCAAACAAAGTTCTTTGCAAAGACCAAAATTTTTGCTCAGATGCGTAATTGCTTCTACATGCTTCTCCTTGCCAAGTTTCACAAAGTTATTTGCGAGAAAAAACATTTGTAAAGTTCCACCACAGCATTCTTCGACCACCTTTTCAGCGGAACTCTGGCTTGCCCATCACGTCATCTTTGACAGCAAAAGTAAGACCCAAACTAAATGCTCTCAGGCATTCAGAAAGTTTGTTAAACTCATTAAAAACGAGCTGGCAACCCGGGCTTCATCCTGTTCTGGAGCCAATCCATCGTGCTTGATCTCTTGTAGCGAAATTTACCCTTTTGTTCCGACACAGCAAACAAGCCAAAAACTTATATACTATGGGCCGCTGATTTCGAATATGAAATTTCCACTTTACTGTTTTATTTCTTTCCAAGGTTATCCCAGGTAAATCATGATAACTGAAGCCGTTGCATATCACTGAGTTTCTTTCGTTAAAATGTTGATAGAACATCGCGCTGCCAGATGCCATTTTTGATGCACTTCGTGGTCATTGTCCGAAAATCAGATGAAACCATAAAACCTTTTTTGTTTGAATCAATGTGCTAAAACATTAATGCAACTTCCTGTAAGAAATCTCAAAAGATCTATTGAAACCCTTGTTTTTTTAATCAGTGATACAGAAACAGTAACAAACTTTATCTCTTCTCTACTTTTTCTTATCATAGAAGGTGGCCCTTAGATTTTGAGTAAAAGCGGATTGCACCTCGACAATCTCTGGTACCTTTTTAGTTTTTTTTCTCTGGTACCTTAACAGTATTTCTGTGAGCTTTTGTCCATATACCGCATACGCCTGCACCTGCTTCAAGAGCAATCATGTTTCTGATGTAAGTTTTGTACCAACACATTGCAGTGAGCATTATGAACGTGCAATGAACAATTACCAGTTTGTAATTAATTATATCCAGCACTATCTTTATGAGAAACATCTCTTTGTCTCAAAATCAGATTAGTTCATGATCTTGCACTCTTCTTTTCACAATCACACTTGTGATGCCCTACTGAATAAAACACAATTTTCAGTGTCAAATATCAATGCCGTACAAGAACGTGAATGAATTCGCAAGTTTAGATGGTGGCAGCATCTATTAGAACGCGTAATTTCTAGAGTTTAAGACATCGTAAAACTTTGTAGAGAATTGCTAAAGATACATAGCTTATCGCGCATGAGGATAATCTTGAATGAGATGATGTGGCGATTAATCTGCCTGTAAAAGTTATAAATGTTAATAGTCACATTCAAGCATTTGCTATGTTTTAACACTATAACGTGAAAGGTATTATACGTTGAAATAGCAAACAACGTAAAATTGTATAAGAAGTCGTGGGAGTTTGAGTATATCAGGTTGTGCTATAAGGTCGCTTGCTTTTATGATCCAAACCTTCCTTGTGTGACGTTCGGTGAAATTTGCATATGTGTTTGAAAGCACTTACCATCTGTTGATTGACATTCTTGACAGCCCTTGGAGATTGTAGTGAACAGACAAGTCAGGATTCAAAAGAATAAAATGGCGTGTGTTTACAGAGGCGTAAGATCCAAGGGTTAACAAAAACTTTAAAGTGTCATGGCACACGTTATAAGGGCGGGGTATACATCACGCGATTCTTCGCCTTGCGATATTTCCAACAAGACAACTGTTTAAACATTACTGCATGTCGATCGTCTTGCATTTTGGTCGCGATAGTTTTCCCATGCGACTAATCCCTGATCAATTTTTCCTATGGCATACTCTCCTCAAAATCGTCGCGATTTGCCCTAATCTCAGCGATATCGCGTCGCTGACTTCAAACAAGCGACGCGACTATATCGCTGAGATTGAAGTTGACTCGTGATTAGCATGTCGGATAACCCCCATGAACGCAGTTTGAACCAAATAAAGACATTGAAATTTTGGAGCCCAGATACTGGAATAGCGTCGAAATTTCTGGTTCTGAGCTTGAAAGCGACTCCGAAATACAGACCAAATTGTCTGTAAATGAAAAAAACTGGGTCCGAATGTGATACAAATATTTACTGGTAGTTTGAGGGCGTCATTATGTGCTTTGAGAATGAACGAATTGCTGCAAATGCATGTTCATAAACAAATAGCCAGCGATTCAGTCGCCGCGTTTTCTTCGTTACTTCCAGCAAATCGCGACGATGGAATCGTACTGACGCATGCCCGGCTCTTTTGGCATACAAAACGTCGCTACAACGTCTTGCTCCGTTTTTTTTAGGCACTAGAGAAGGTTGAAAAGAAGGTATCGAGCATAAACACCTTGACAAATAGGCATAAATGATTACTTTCTGTATTGTGCTGTCAACAGTTCATCGGAAGATGATGGAAAAAATCGAAAGGAAGGTGGGGTCAAAAACAAATTTTGATTCGTCAAATTTTATCCTGCAGCTAAATCTTGAGATATTTGCAAATTGTGTAGATGATGCAAGTATCCAACAGAGCAAACATAGTGATTCTGAAAGTATCTTTACCTTCTACCAAATACACTACAAAAGAAGCAGTCAAGTTGGAAAATGCGAGCTTACCAAAGAACATAATAAATATACATGTAATACAGTGCGAGAAACCAAAAGTCCTGCCACATTCAACGTGCTCCGACTTTTTGCATTCTATAAAAATTAGATGAGTAAAACTGGTCATAAGGCAGTTTGTGAAATATGACGGCTGAAGTGAAGTAAAAGCTAATAAGTGTTTCTATCGTCTTTTCAAATTCGCAGATTGTAAGCAATCGGTTGTTTGCATCCACCTCCATCTCGTCAAATCATTTTCATATGAAACAATTACAGAGCTAAGTAAGGAAAGGCCAAATGAACTTATTTTTCATGGACAAAATTTGCATGCTGATCTAGCTGCAAATTAGAGTTCAATGATTATTGAAGCATGTAAGGTACATAATATAAAAGCCTAGCTCCATGGAATCTCGTGTAAAGATGGAAATCAAAATCTACTTGATTCTCGTGGTAAGCGCTGCTAAATTTTTTGACACAACTGACTATGTGTAAATTTCAGACGCTGCCACTCTTGTTTGGCTTGCCATGTGAAAACGAAACTATGGGTATATATAAAAATTTCACAAAACTCAACGTGCTCCTAGAGCGAAACTTTCAAAGAGTTGCGTGCCGTGGAATATATTTTGTGAGTCCAAAAGCATTTTGATCTGCTAGGAAACCAAAATTTACAAAATAAGAGTTAAAATGCAAACGGATTCTTCCAACCAAACAGCATTTAACTGAACGATTAGGTGAAAGCAAATGCTACAAGTATAAATTTTAGGAAATTGAGTGCAGTAAAATAGTATTGGCTCGTATGAATCTCAAAAGTTTGTATGAAGGAAGATTCTTCAGAAGATACTACAACTATGAGTACCTCTTGGATCGAAGCAGAAGGTTTAATTTTTTATATATATATTATATGGACTTCTTTTGCAAAATGCGGTATAATTTAGGCAAAAAAGTAGAAGGATGCGTGCCTTTTTGATGGCGAGAAAGCACAAAAGGACGATGTTTCGAAAGGTAGGCATCACGTATTTTTTCAGTACCTTTTTTTTTTCAAAAAATTTGAAAACACGTGCATAACACATTGTACAATATTTTGAAAAGAGTCACAATATCGGCCAGTGCACAAGAAAAAGATTCTAAGCTAAGTGGCATACAAAACATCTTCAGACGCTGTCAAGCCTGCTCCTCTTTTCTGCCAACCTCTTTTTCCAGAGAATTCGTGAGATCTAGCCGATTAACGCTCGTCGTTGCTAACTTACGAGCTACATTACACTTTCTACACTTAGATGTAGAAAATAACAATTACGTGACTTAGTACATTGCAATTATGACGAAGAATGACCATTTTAGTTAAAGTATTGGAGGCCCGGTAAGGTAAGATTCGGTTGCGCCTCGCACAAGGGTAAACTACCAAGAAGGAGGCCCATTCTTTGTATTTTTCAGAAGATGGACTACGCAGAATAAAATTTTTGAAAATTGTTTTGTCCTGTGCATAGAGAATGATAAAAGACTGTAAGCGTGAAGGAACATCAGCTGGTGTGGCCTTCTTTTGTCTGTGTGGAACTCATATAACAATTAGGATTATGAGGGTGCACAAAGACATGAGGCACACGCTGCATACGTTCTTTTGTGTACAAAGTCATGAACCATTGTACTGCGAAGAGATAGTATTAAAGTGCGAATTCAATACAAAAAAACATGTTTAGCTTTATGCTGGGTTGAAACATGCTAAATTGGTTGCTTTTCAGAATTCATGCATAAGAGGGTGTTAGTTGTATAAGTGTCTGATTTTGCAGTTTGTACGTGCATTTTTCCTGAGGTGAAACTGTTTATAATCAGGGCTCGGCACGAGGTGGCTTACAAGCAAGCTGGATATCGTTTTTGGGATGAAAAGCAAAGGGGGTTTCGTTTTTGTGACCGAAAAGACACGGAAAATTGGCAACGGCGACCTTTTTTTTAGTCGACGTTTCGTTTTTTGGGGGATTTTGGGGAATTTTTCAGTTTTTCAGGTTTTTAGAGGAAATTTGGTTGAGGGTCAAAGGGGACTTCGTAAAAATTCCCAAAAGTCAAGGGGGACTTCGTTTTTTGCATTTTCATCTAGCCACCTCGTGCCGAGAAATACGGAAAATAAAATTTAAAGTCAGTGACGCTGCATCCGACTTTAAAATTTACTTACATGGGTTATAAAAATGTGCAGGTGACTTGCTTGTACTTGTAAACAATTAAAACAATTTTTGAAAGTTTTAAAAATTCAGATCAGCCTCGTAAAAACTTTTTCGATGGCACCAAGTTTACGCTGCAATTTGCTAGAGTAGAATTTCACCCTATGAGACTACGCCTGTTTGAAGCCTTGAATTAAATTCCACTAGAAAAACGTGTCCAACAATACCGAAACCTTGCCTTTAACAAATCATCTTGCTTCAAAATCAAAGCAAGAACGCATAGATGTGACTGTGCAAGATCAATGTGCTTACAGTTGAGCAGACGAAACTGACTTAGTAACACATTGCATCAGCATAATGCTACAGTGCTGGCCATAATTGTAGAAACACTCTAGAAATCGTCGTAATTTTCGTTCTTGTCAGTGAATCTGTCTGAAACTTTGCTGTATGGTGCGCATGTAAGCCTACCATAACTCCTCAGAACGGCTTCCAATCGCGTTGAATTCGAACGGAGAAAATGGAAAAATTCGAAAAAGCCTGTTTTGCAAGCAGGACATAATTATAAGGACACCTGGCCTTTTTAAACAATATCGCATTCCTTGACTCCCAAATTTTTTTGTAGAGTTACATTCCAGAATATGAAACTTTTGCAGCACCTGGGACCTGTCATGCTACTCAAGGAAAGATTATCCTTGCATTTCTCGCCAAACGCATCAGAAGTCAAACTGCGTCAACAAACAGCTGGTTTGAAGAGTTTTCAAGCCCGCGTTTTATTTCAATTGACAGTCCTGGAATACACTAAGCCTTTCTGATAGATAAGGTGAAGAGCGCTTTAGTAAACTCCGCGTAATCGCTGATATTGACTATCAAACTCCAACCTCATTATAGGGTTGTCGCGCTGTTGCACCACAAAACTCGATTTTCAAGTTGCAGAAAACGCTGCAATGTAGCACGCAACAATACACGTACAACAATAAACTTGTGTGCCTAGTCAGGAAAAAATTCCGGGGTTGCACCTTCTGGTTCAGCCGCAGTTGTCATCCGGTGAGAGTTGAGTCGAGCACTCTGCACAATCATATCCAACTCAAATCAAGAAATCGAACAGGAAACTGCTTGAAACTTCAAAATCTTGCTAATCTCAGCTACCGCGCAAAATGCGACATGAAACAGAGAATAAAATAGTGAGATTTGTGATTATATTGTATCACTGCTCGCATAGAATTTTCGTTGAAAGTATTTCAGATCTACATGGCAACTGCAGCACTAGAAAAAATCTAAAAGTTGTTGCAAAAGATGCATCTCCATGTAGACATTGTAATAAATCGAGTCCATCACTTCATGAATATTGGAAAGTGAGTTTTGTGGTGTAAGAGCATGACAATCTTATAGTGGGGTTGGAGTGTCCGTCAATATCAGCAATTACGCGGAGTTTGTATAAGCCTCTTCATCCTATCTATCAAAAAGGCCAAGTGTATTCCAGGACTGTCATTTGAAATGAACGCGGGCTTGAAAGCTCCTCAAACCAGCTGTTTGTTGACGCAGTTTGACTTCTGATGCCCTTGAAAACGAAAAATGCAAGGATCATCTTTTCTTGAATAGCATGACAGGTCCTAGGTGCTGCAAAAGTTTCATATTCTGGGATGTAACTCTACAAAAAAATTTGGGAGTCAAGGAATGCGATATTGTTTGAAAAGGCCAGGTGTCCTTATAATTATGTCCTGCTTGCAAAACAGGCTTTTTCGAATTTTTCCATTTTTCTCCGTTCGAATTCAACGCGATTGGAAGCCGTTCTGAGGAGTTATGTTAGGAGCTTTAGGAGCTGTTAGAGCTCTTAGGAGCTTACATGCGCACCATACAGCAAAGTTTCAGACAGATTCACTGACAAAAACGAAAATTACGACGATTTTTAGAGTGTCTCTATAATTATGTCCAGCACTGTAGCAGCCATGGTTTGTTTTGGATTCGCTCTGGTTTCGCCACGAGCTGTCATGCAAAGATTTCGCTGCTGCGCCTAGTCAGGATAGCTTATGCAAATGAAGATGCTGTGGCACTTTTTGGCCGGGTCTAATTTAGATCGCGCGTGAAAACCCTCAAACAAACTTTTTGATTTGCCTGTGGCCGCTTCCAATACAAATCAATAAATCTTTTCTGAAATGTTTGCACTCCGATAGATCGATGAATGAATTGAGAAACATAAGCTTTGCAAACTTTTGTCTGATACTCTTCAAATTAGAGAACTTTTGCTATTTGTAGCTAAAGTTACAGGAATATTCACAACGTGGAACAAGTGTGAGCAACGTGCGCGATATAATGCAAGACTATTTGCAAGTTAAAGGAATTGTTTAGAGTCATGCTTTCTCCTAATGGAAAACTCTCTGCCCAAAGGAAACGGAAAATGTTTTTGCAGAAGATGCCAATCTGACTGCCAGTCGATGCGGCTCGGATCCTCGCGAGCCGCGCTTGGGCCTCTCCCGCGTTCGCTCTCAGAGGAATTGGTGTTTATCACAGTATCCTTAGGCATGAATTGCTGACAAGCTTTGGAAAATCCCCGATACACGTTCGCGAATGCGGCGAGTAGCCCAGGCGATGCGGCTCGCGAGAACGCTGGCCGCGCCCACCGTGACACTCAGTTGAAATTTCCCTGTTGTTTAACAGTTGTTGTTACAGGGGCACAGTTAGTACAAGTCAACTGATGCAAGAAGTGGTCGGCAGAAGAATGGAAAAAATGGTAATTTGTATAAAATAATTTGTGCGCAAATCAGCAGTATTATTTTAGAACGTATGGTTCCTTGGACCAGGTCATGTGTCTAAATATTTCTTCGATGCTTTCATGAGCGTGTGGAATGGCTTAAGACATGCCTTCGATGAGCAACACAAATTTCACCCTGACTACGAAATATGGGTATGTATTAGATGCAAAAAGATCTTTTCACGTGTCCATAAGATTTAGGTAACCGGCCATTCGCTCGGGGGTGCCATGGCGTCTCTCGCAGCACATTACATCAGGAGAAAGTACGATATCCCTGCAAATCAGATAAAGCTGGTAACATTCGGACAGCCGAGAACGGGCGATGATGAGTATAGTAAATTGTTTAATGCAGAGGTAGGATGTCACGCAATCATGTTATGCAACGCGCTGTTCCGCCCCGCCCTGTTGGTATACTATGATAAAGACTACCACTTCCCTATTTTATACAAGTTTGTGTCCTTGTCTCTGTTCCGAATGCCAGAATTCCTTCTCCGACTCTGCTATCGTAATCAGCATGTTCTAGACACTGCGCATGCTAACTCCAAGCCCGTGGGTCAAAGTTTGCAAAAAATCGATCAAATCAATAAAAGTAATGAGTACAATCATGAGCGAATGTTTGTGTTCGTAATCGGTATGCCCGCTTACCCCTCTGCCAACTCTCACTAACATAGCTCAGAGTTCGCAAAGATGGATAGAGTCGATGAGAAGTAAATGAACGTGTGCAAAGTTTGGTCCGGATCCGTCCAAAAATGAATTTTCTGCTCCTGCATACGAGCATACATATGCTCAGACAAGTGACAGACAACGTCGTTCATCTGTACATATGTAAAAGTGCTTTTACCTAATGATAATCTCAATGAAAATTGCTCTTGAAGATAATGAATTGAGGCACAGGTAGCATGAGCTCTGGTGAGATGGTCCCCTTCTTACAAGTCGATGCAAATTCCTTTTGATCTTTCGAATTTTCTTTTGAAAGCGTCTGCAATTTTCAAGTTTCTGCGATGTTTGTATCATATCCTTCCAATATGCCTCAATGTGGGATTACTTAGAAGTTATAGAATCACAACAAGGCAAACTTTAATATTGTGTTGGAGTCACTGTTTGATGGAGCCAGCAAGCTCTACAAGATGGTCACTGTTCCGCATAAAATGTGATCCGCTCCAAATTCAAAGCCAAAATTTGCGAAAGAAATTGTGGCTCAAAAATCGGACAGCTTCGAAGTACTCCACCAGATTTCATGGATTTCTTGCTCATGCAGTGCCTTCCATAAACTCATGTACGGTTGTTACAATTTCTGCTGCTAAAAGTCGAAAATGGGATAAGCCACAAACGTTCTCTTCTTTGTTTCATTGTGGCAAATAAGATATTTTCAGACAACGAGACACACTAAGGTTTTTTATTGAACCAACTTACACGCGGGAGGATCGTTTCAAACTAATTGCCATGAAAGTATACAGCAAGGCTTGTAATGAGTAGGCGGGGCTGTAGGATCCTTAGAGGATTTTCAGTACACCATAAATGTTTTACTTGACTTTTTTCTGGATCAGGACTTTGACTTTTTTCTAAATCTTTGAGTACTTTTGGCGTCCCTCTATGGAACTTGCTTGGCTCTATTTACCAGTGACTTTTATATGTTATTAGTTGTCTTGATCACGTCAGTAGGAACATGATACTTCGAGTGTAAGAGTACGTGAAAAAAAAACTGTTACATTTTACTCATTCAAGCGTTCATAGCAAATCTAGGACAATTTTAAAGTGGCGGTCTTTAACTGCAAACTAATTAAGGTATGGTTCCCGGATGGCATGGAGCCTGGTTCAAAATACGAAGTGTGTCTCTGTAAAGATTTGAGATTTTTTCTGCTTTTGAACACTTTACACGTTGCAGAAAAACAAGCCGTTCTATTTTACAGATGAATCTGAATCCGATAAGAAATGCAGCAACTCGCTACATCTTCCCATCAGCGCATGGATAGATCATAGGCACTACTTTGGAAAACTTGTCAGCGATTATGGAAAACGTGGATGTCCTGTGTAATCATTACCAAATACATTTCTGCATCCATTTATGTTGACTACACAGTTCAACATCATGCTTCACCAATGAGGCATCGCATCTTGTGCCACAAATCTCTCCATGAGCGTACGAGCGCTCTTGTATTGTTGTAACAGTCGCAAGAAACGGAGCCCGCCTACCAGAGAAAGTAAGATCGTACAAAGCAAAAACCTCAATATTCCAATTTTTTGTTTCCCCAAAGAAGGAGACTCTGTGCATTGAACAGGAACTAATGGCAATTTATTTTAAACACACAAGTGTGTTCATGTCAGATAACTGCTTATATACGTACGACAATAAGCTCGCAAAACGGAAGTTACGCATGACAACAATGACATTACCCTTTGATTTAAAGGTGAACTCGCAAATACTGGCTGAGTTCCTAAACTTGTCCCATCAATTTCTTTATTCTTCAAACTGGTACAAAATTCGCGAACACCTGAATTCCTGCTATCGATGTATCAGACACTTTTTGTGCCTTTTCCAGCAGATCTGTGAGTTTCTGCTGTCCTGTAAGCAAATATTCGAATTTCGAAGGAGTGAAAATCCGACTTGGAAGTTAATAGCGTGGTAAGAATCTTTCCAAAAATTCCATAAATGGTCGCAACGGGTACAGTCTGCCCCAATCCTAAGCAGGCCAAAATCGGCATGGCGGGAGTGGGTTTCGCGCCACATCTGCGGCCTGCTAGTCTGCTCTCCTCTCAATCTCTTCACTCTCCGCGACAGCGCGCATATGCAGCGCAATCCCTAGCGCTGCGAGCGCGCAAATTCAGCCGACGGTTCGGCCTGATCCCGATTGGGGCAGACTGTAAATCTCAGTAGGAATAAGCTGTTTGGTTGGTTCTATACATGCTATTCCCTGTTTCCTGATGAATGCTTGACCATAAATGCAAAGTGAGGCTCTTCTCCTTTTTTCTGTTACTACAGGGGTTGCGAATAAGCCTCAGTGTACGTTGTTTTTCTTGAATGTCTAATTCATATGTGTTACGCCCCGTTCGACATTTGAACTTCTTAGCTCCGAAAGTGTATATTTGAGGAAGTTGCTCTTGTGTACAATGTGCTCCGATGCGGTGTGTTGATCTGTGACGATGAATGACTGATCGGCGCCGTTATCAAAATAAAATCTTGACTTCTATCCATTTTTTCACATGTTGTTGCATAACGCTGCTCTTCAATAAGCAGCAGCGCTTTTTCAAATCTTTTCTGATCTGTAAGTTCTTGATTTTGCATCACGTTTTTATGTTATGTTAAAATCAATTAGGAAACTAAGGTCTATAGAAAGCTGAAAATCTGTGATTGTACTTGTAAAGAATATGATAAACATCTACCGCAATGTTGTTTTTGGAAACTTGAAAACTTTACTTTTCTCCGTTCTTAACACAGGTACAAGCACGGCAACAGCGCTAATGAATATCTTACGGAGTATATATGCTTAAGCGAGTATGGAATGTGGTAAGTTCTTATCGAGCAAAGTATAAAAGATTTCAACTTTTCGGGCATCCGATTCTCAGATTTCGGCTTCCAAATCGTGATGTGCCTAAAGTGCGGCGCATGCTTACCGCTCTATCGAATAGTACCCTGTAATCTAATCAAATTAAAGAAGTGTGACTCATTGCGGTTAAAAAATCGAAACTGAAAAATTCATAAGATAACCTAATTGAACTTGTTTCAGCTCATTTGAAATGTTGTTGGCAATGCCTCTAATCTGCATAGCTTTTCCCACACTGGAAGAAATGTATAGTTGAAATTCATTCTTCAAAACATCGTTCGCCCCTTTTTGAACCAGGAAGGCTTCAATTTCGGTAGAATAGATTAAAACTGAAGCAGAAACAACGTGCACCTCACTTATTGACACAATACGTCGCGTGCGCCGCAGCACGCAGCGTACGCCGCTGCAGTCGTGGCGAGAATACGCTCATGGCTGCACACTCTGTCTATCACCGTATTTCTATATCCGCTACTCCCTGTGTCCTCCGAATGTTCATAGCGAAACTGTGCCGCCATGGGCGTACTTTCACTGTGAGCAGCGTACGCTGCATGCTGCGGCCTACGCGGCGTAGTATGAAAGAACCCACAATCAGCACCCTCACTTAATCCCCCCCCCCAGTTCCCATCTTCTCCTTCCCTGTAAAAAAATTTTATGCCAACATCATCGCTTCCAATGATGTTGGCATAAAATTGCTCGAGCTTAGTGCAAAGCCAACTAAATTTCATGTTGCATAATTGCCTCTATGTTTTAAAGATTTTTCGCGAATAGCGGGTCTAATTTGAGAGTACGTCGTAGTTGTAGCAGAAGATTAGATGTGTTGGTGAATTTTGGGTCACATCTCCTTGCAACAAATTTTTGTTCGCTAGTTGTTACGTAATACATTCGTTATGCGCTCAAGATTTTGCAAACATTTCAACACCAGGTTATCAATCTACCAATTACGTAAACGCTGAACCTAAACGTAGACGTTCCACATCGAGACACAAGAGCTTTGGTTATGACAGGCGCACTACTTCACGCGATTTCAGTCGGAAGCGAATAGCCATTTTGTCAGATGTCTTTTAATGTCACATTCGCTTAGCACATATGTATAGCGTGTGCAAGCTGATAGACAAATGCTCTTCTTTTTGTACTTTTGGAACTGCAGCTACGAAAAGTTATGAACAATTTATTGCCAAACGTCGTCGAGAATTGCGTGAAGTAACCTGCTATAGATGCATTCGTGCTCGCTTTGCGAGATAAACCACAGGCCTTTGTTTACGACTAACTTTTTTTATAGGGAAGGAGAAGATGGGAACTGGGGGGGGGGGATTAAGTGAGGGTGCTGATTATGGGTTCTTTCATACTACGCCGCGTACGCCGCAGCCTGCAGCGTACGCTGCTCACAGTGAAAGTACGCCCATGGCGGCACAGTTTCGCTATGAACATTCGGAGGACACAGGGAGTAGCGGATATAGAAATACGGTGTTAGACAGAGTGTGCAGCCATGAGCGTATTCTCGCCGCGACTGCTGCGGCGCACGCGACGTATTGTGTCAATAAGTGAGGTGCACGTTGTTTCTGCTTCAGTTTTAATCTATTCTACCGAAATTGAAGCCTTCCTGGTTCAAAAAGGGGCGAACGATGTTTTGAAGAATGAATTTCAATTTTACGTTTCTTCCGGTGTGGCAAAAGCTATGCAGATTAAAGACATTGCCAACAACAAATGAGCTTTTGCGGATCTTTAGTGCCAAACGGTAGGGTTAGCTTCAACTTAGAATTTACAGCACGAATCACCGATTTCTCTTGGTTGCTTTAGGATTGCGGTAGAAATTTTCGACTAATTTTAGGTTTCTGATAGACGTGAATTGCTTCTAAAAAATCCGAAAAAAAAACCGAAACACATCAGACTAAGGTTATAAAACTAAGGTTTGTGGAACTTGCGCTACAGAACACTTGGCAAATCGCACATTCAAGCGCTCATTACTCCTTCCAGACAGTCGCTCGGCAAATAATAAACATATACAGGGTGCCATAAAAAATGTTTCGAACGTTTGGTTTTCAATAACTTCCTTATATGGGAAGCTTTCGCTGATCTTTGAGTGCCATGCGGTAGGGCAGTTTAGATTTACAGTATAGAACGAATCATCTTTCTCCTAGTTGCTGTAGAATTACGGTAGGGCAGCTTAGATTTACAGTATAGAACGAATCATCTTTCTCCTAGTTACTGTAGAATTACGGTAGATGTTCTCGACTCTCTTAGGCTTTTGAGACGTGAATTGCTTCTCGAAAAAACCGAAAAAAACCGAAGGACGTCAAACTAAGGTTTTCGGGGACACAGAATTTGATTACAAATTGTTTCGCTACCGTACTTTTCGGGTTCCTGCGACATGCGCACTAGCGCTGAATTTTCGACTTTTTTTAAAATTTACTAAATCAACGTTGCCTTTGTCAAATAAGGTTTAGTTGAACCATAAAGATTTCTTCATTCTTTATTAATTGCAACAAAGTGCAAAAAATTACAAAATCAGGTTTTAAACACACCTAGTGATTCGATTTTATTTTGTTCTTCTGATTGATTGATTTCGACGTGTTTGTAACTGCAAAGTTGGTTTAGTAAATTCCGAAAAAAAAAACGAAAATTCGCACGTTACAGTGCGCATGCCGCAAGAAGCCGAGATGTACGGTAGCGCAGGACTTCGTAATTAGGTTCAGCGTTTCCGAAAACTTTAGTCTGACGTGTTTCGGTTTTTTTCGGATTTTTTAGAAGTAATTCACGTCTATCAGAAACCTAAAATTAGTCGAAAATTCCTACCGCAATCCTAAAGCAACCAAGAGAAATCGGTGATTCGTGCTGTAAATTCTAAGTTGAAGCTAGCCCTACCGTTTGGCACTAAAGATCCGCAAAAGCTTTACATATAAGGAAGTTATTGGAGACCAAACGACATATTTTTTGGGACACCTTGCATTTGTGGTTAGCGTTTTAAGGCGTTTCCCGGGTCGTAGTGACTAGGGTTTGCAAAAATGGAAATTTTAATCAACTGCTTTCGATGTGGAGTCTTTAGTAAACCTCATTACTTCAAAATCTCGGTTTTTGACACAACGTGTTTTGGCACTGTTTGCTCAGAAACTCACCAGATTTCAGAGTTTTTCATAGCTTTTAGAACTGTGAAGACTCTGAAGGAGAGCGTTCAACCAGTAGAGAACGGGGATGAGGTACATATTCCAGGGATTTGCTAGATGTGCGTTTTGCAAAAAAAACATCTGGAAAACCTTTGGTGAGCAAAGCCTTACGAGATAACCCTTTGGTATGCATAGAATTCATATTCAATGAAGTTTGAAGTCTAATTCAATCATTCAGTCAGTCAATCAAAACTATGCCAAAAAAACTTTGCTCAACATAGCATAAACCTCCGGCAGTTTGTTTGTTAGTAGTCTCATGCAGTGCTTGCAATTGAGATCTCGGAATTAATGATGTGCTAAAGTCGCGTTATGGCACTCTGGCAACGCGGATACTTATTCTTACAAGCTTGCATCTCTTCCAAAAAATATCAAACAATGAGTTTGTTTCGATCGCGTAATGGAAATGCGCAAAATTCCCAATACTGTTTTTCGTGCAAATACTCATTTAGTAAGCGCGTAATGGAAATGCGCGAAATTCCCAATACTGTTTTTCGTGCAAATACTCATTTAGTAAGCTGCTACCTTTTGTGATTGTGTTTTGTGCAAGCCAAATTATCTTTGAACACCTTTTTATAGCATGCACTCAAAATGTATTCAAAATTGTGTGTATGATGACAATAGGCAAAGCCACCATATCTTGAATAAATTGTCGTAAACAGTTTTTGTTAAGCACTTTAATTATGATGCTTTTGTTTTCGAAATATATAAATAAATTTGCAGTAAACGACATTAATAAGATGGTCACTAAAACAGCGTACATAATTTTGACTGTAAATTTTTCTTTTTGTGGTCATCGTGATTGTGATAATCAGCTACTTCAGGCTTTGCCGGCTCTAACATTCAGCGCCTGCCAAAAAGAGTACCCGTTTCTCCTGACAAATGATAGCCGCGGTGAAAGTGTGGAAGAGTTGAATAATGTTCTAGAGCAGAATTTTGAGATGTTGCACACTCATATTAACTGGGTCAGTAATAAACCAACGCCCTTCTTGATGCAAATAATGTCGCTGAAAAAAGAGCAGCGCAGCAAACTATTTTTTCAATTACATCTTCCAGACTTCCTCATGCAGCAAAATATTGACGGCTGAGATTTGGCTGAAACGGATTTTGCCAGAGCTACAAAACAACTTTTCACCAATAATCAAGAGATTTCATAGTTATGTTATGGTCATCGAAACTTTCAATCCGTACGTGTATTATCGTAGCATATGAAATTCGCTCGTGTTTTTAAAATTATTTCTAGGACCGAGCTCATCCGGAAGGTGGCTAAGAGTGTTACAAAAAAGTGGAAGCTGATATACATAAAGGTAAGGTGCAAACTGCATTCAAGAATTAGTATCGTGTGGCTTGTACACTGCAAATCATTATAGTGAAATGGTAAATCTTTTTCTGCAAAGTTTTCAGGAATACGTACCGACAAAAACCTTTTGTTTGTCTCTTCCGTGCTAATCCTATGTTATTATTTTCCATCAAAGCATCCAACCTTCACTGACAGATCTAATGCTCCCTGTTTCAAAAGCATGAATGGATTGGAGAAAAAACCAAACGTTTTTTTCATGATGCGCATGCAGTAGTCAAGGCATAACATTCCGTAATTAGCGTCTAGCTTTGAAGGTCACAATTTTTCAGCTAAGAGCGTTTGGGGTTCGTCCTCGTGCTGTAAAGTTTGGATGTGCCGAGCAGGAGATGCGCCTGAAACGAACTTTCACCAGGAGGAAACCGCTAACACGGAAAGTGATATTTTGCCTCTTTCAAGCATCGCTCTCAGAGCTCATTTATTTCCCCAGTAAATCTGAGTAAATCAACCGAAAATTCAAAGGAAAAGCTCTGTGACTTTCAAAAGCATGATCAAAACAAGCATTATGTTGATGCAAAAATAATGGCCGTTACTCTACTATCCAGCAGACCAAATATTCGAAATATCTTGAGGTTTACAGAGTTCAGAACAAAGTTTGCTTGACTTGACCAGCAAAAGTACACCTGAGCTAATGTTTGATTTCGAATGCGCCACAATCGCATCTATGCTTCAAAAATCCGAGAAGCTTTTAGGGTTCTTTTATATTACGCGCAGGACGCAGCAGCCTGCCGCAGCACGCCGCGTCCTGCGGCGTAGTATGAGGGAACCCTTATCTGATACCATATAGTAGGCGCATACAAACATACCTACACACTTGATTTTTCATTTTCGAGGTACTATAGCAGCTATGTGAAAAATCGCTGTGCTGCAAAAAAGTGTAGTGTGCCACAAATAATCTAGGTGTATTAGTGTACAAATAACAACCTGAGGAAAAAATCCGCGTGAGAGCTACTCGATTTTCTTTTTTAACTTACTTTGCCCTAGTCAGCCGAATAATGCGCCTTAGCATTTTCTGCACTCAAAAGTTGCGATATTAAAGCAACGGCCATTTCTTTATTAATCCTATAAAATTGCACATATGTTACGACATGTGATGGAGCGACTGTATCTGATGTGATTTTAGTCCTTTTAGACAGTTGTTTTCGATATACGTAGTCTCAGTCATTCCTCTTCCATCTTTATCAAACAAACTTTGAAACTCGGAGATAAACTCTAGCTGCAAGACCAGTTACGATATAATATAGTGTGCCTGAGCTTTATACAGGATGTCTCAAAAAGATGTGCACACTGTTTGATTTTGAATAACTCTCTTAATATGAGGTCTTTCAAGGAGCGATAAGCGCCATTATGTAGAGCTGGCTTCAACTTAGCTTTACAATATAGAACGAATCACCGACCGCTCTTCGTTACTGCAGGAATACGGTGGAAACTTGGAACATATGGTGTCAATGTGGAAAAAGCTGCCGTTTCAGAAATTTTCAAAAAGATGTGAAAATTTGTGTAATAGGGTTTTTAGAAACGCTGAGTTCAATACTCAACTATTCTCAAGATTGCGAAGCTTTCTAAACGGTGTAACCGCACTTTTTAGGAACATTGAGAAAATGGCCGCTGCTGTTTACCTCGCGTAACTCTTCAGTGAAACATCATAATAGGTTGGGAACTTAACAATTAGAATCAGCAACTCTAATTGGCCTATTTTAAAAGTTTTCAGGCTGTTTTGATTCCTTTCTGAGGCAAAATATGGCCTTTAATGGCCAAAATCCTCTTTCAAATTTCTACCGTAATCCTACACTAACAAAGAGCGGTCGGTGATTCGCTCCATACTGCAAATCTAAGATGAAGCCGGCCCTACAAAATGGCCCCTACCGCTTCTCGAAAGACCTCATAATAAGAGAGTTATTCAAAATCAAACAGTGTGCACATCTTTTTGGGACACCCTGTAGATCAACTCTTTTAAACATACAAAAATTGTAGCTAAATTGATAAAGCTTTTGCTCAAATTTGGTTCACATAAGGAGAGCGAAAGTATTGAGAAATTGAAAAGAAGGAAAAAATGATACAACAGAAAATACTCCACCTAGAAAATCATACTTTGATATTCCATCACCGATCACTGGCTCTCGGATTGCAGTTCTTTCACTACCCCAACGGAATGCGCGGACAACTTACAACGGAAGCATATTTAGTTGAAGTGGCCATTTTAAATGGAAAGTGTACCATAATGAAAGGCATGAAGCGCTGATACCAGATCGAATCGTGGATCGTCTATGGTCGAAGAGTTATTAGCGTTCATTGAAGCCAAAATCTGCATGTGCAAGTGAGACAAAAATAGTGTGTAATAGTTTTTTAGGCCTTTCGTGGAGCATTAAAAATTATCAGAGCACTTTACGCAATAATTAAAGATAAAATATACAAATGGTTGCCTTAGTTAAGGGTTATCAAGATTTTAGCAACTCATTTTATCCTGTGACTTTTTGCTCCAATAATCACTCTAATTCCTCGTCCACAGCGCAGATAAAGAAGGCAAACTTGGAATCAGCATGGTTCTCAATACTGTATACTTTGGCTCGTAGTAAGCCCTCCCCCCCCCCCATCAGTGCAACTCAACTGTTGCGGGCCTACGTTACGTAAGACGCCTCAGTCCAGCATCCAATGAGCTATTGATCTGGATGCAGATCGCTTTCTGATCGTGATAATCATGTATGTTCTTGAAAAAGAACCACTTCAGCCGGTTTGGTCGAATAGGTAAGCGACTGGAATTAAACGCGGGTGGCCATGGTTCAACATCAGATAGCGTCACACTCCACTATCGCGAAATCAATGATGACCGCTATCAAGGATTTTGCCTAGCACATGCATGGATAGATAGAACAAAAACACATTTTTTAACGAAAATTTTATGAAAAAGCACAATGGTTGCAACATGAACTCAATGAATTTAATTAATAAAATCCTATCTTGAGCATTTTTTTGAATAAAAGTCAGCAAACTTTATAAAAAAGAAAATAATCTGTTTTTTTTGCTTTCCACGCCAAAATCGGCTGTTCACTGATTCTCGCTTTTTCGTGCCCCAGTAATGTGTAGTTTTGCGCCAATTTTGTCCGCAATGTCAGGCAAACTGATGTTTATCGTAAGTTATTCAGGAGCAACTTCTGGAAATGTTTTCTGCAACTCATCTTTTTTACACTATTTGCACTAGTTCAAGATTAATTCAACTGATGTCTCAACTGATGCAAGTGGATCAGTTGATTGCAGCAGGTGGACGGATGGCCAACTGTTAGTTCACTTGGCATGCTTATAGCATGGGAATGTGGGCGGTCATTATTTCACCTGACATAAGTTCAATTAATGGCTTAATTTCATTTCATCTGAAGCGATCAAACTTTACCACGGGCATTTCATTAAACCACTCTTCGACTCGGCATGCTTCCCTTGTTGGATCAGATCACCACACATTAGTTACTTGAGCCTAAACTAGAATCTTTTGTGAGGTAGAGTCAAGCCAGACGAAAGGTTTATGTGACCATGAGGCGTTCAACAGCAGAACAACAGTCATCCTTCATCAGACAAACTAACACACTTATTGCTATACGCTCCGTTGCTCTCGCTTGTTAAAGTGCTCGAACTTCCAGCAAGATAAGAAAGACTTTCAGCAGGGCTATGGAATTGATACAAAATTATTGCTTTAGCCGAAAAGAAACGGTACTTCTTGTTGGTACTTGGGGAGCACAAGCAACGTCGGATTGGAATTGAAAAGTTTTTTTTTAAATAGGTGAAGAATCCTTTACCTTTTTTCTTCTTTTTTTCTGATGTTCTTTTGGATGCTGGGTACTAATCAAGGCAATAATCCTATAGGCATGGCCAATGCAGAACTTTTTTCTTTCTTCACCTAGGCATGCAAATTCTTTGGAAACTTACAATTTAACTGAGTGGATACAAGCTTTACACATTTTACACACAACATCGCTTGGGACATCTAATCTAACTAGATTGCGGGATTTCATCAAACATTAAAACCACAAGGTGAAACATTGAGGCCCGTATGCATTAAAATCTTTGCGGCTAAGGTAGTGGCGTCCTCCCTGATGAAGAGGCCGCGGGCGAATGTTTTTATGCAGTTCATGTTTGAAACGCTGTTCCCCTCGCTGCACGGATGTTAATGCCTGCGGGGCTTAGTTTTATTCGCTTACATGCCCAGACAAAAGGGGAGAAAATGTTCATCTCCACCTCGGCTGAAAGTTTTGCGTCCTTAGCCGAAAATCCATAAACAATTTTTAATGCACCACTAGCACACTTCTCTATCATTTCACAAAGTTCTACTCAATATCATATAGAGTGCGGTCTTCCATGTTTTGCATGATCGACTGATAAACCCATCAAAACTTACAGTTTTTTCAAAAAACATTCATCATTCTATTGTTGATGGAAACCTTGCAACCCCGAGCATTCTTCATGTGTCAATCGCGACGCAATTCGACAATGTTAGTTGTTTACAGCTCATCAACCGCGTTTTGATACACAGAATATAGAGAACTTCTAGATCTGCGAAGGTTATAAACATGTACATGTATTTGACGTCCACAAGTGTGCATTTGAAGAACTTTGACGAATTGCCAAAAAAAAGCGTAAAGTGCCGTGAGCTTTGAAGCGAAGTACGCGGAGCCTCAAACTTAAGGTTGAGTTCACACTGATTTTTAAGTTTCGAAACAGTTCCAGCCAGGGCCCGGCAGGAGGTGGCATTTCAGAAATTTAAAAACGATATCCCATTCGAAGCCAATTCTCTTACGACTTCCCCTTTGACCCTATTTTTGACCCCCCTCCCCCTAATTCCGTGACAGACAATATACACAAATAAATAGGAGCGCATAAATAAATAGCGCATCAAGAGGATGAAGTATGGCGGGTGCCTAAGAAGCAAGATTTAGAGGAGAGATGAAAAATTCCATCCGGAAAATTACCCTCATCAAGACGGGGGTGAAATGAGCGAGATATGACATATCATTAGCCACTTAAAACAACTGCACTTGTAAGGTGATGATTTTTGCACTGCAACAACTATGCAGATGCACGAAAAAGTATAGAGAAGACACACTTATAAAGCAAAACCCTATTCTCCGATTTTCTACGAACAAACACTGAACACTGAAAAATGCACCAGGATGATGACAGAAACATGGAACATATAAAACACAAAAACAGTGGAGTGGGGAACCAATGAGCGAGAAAGAGCGTTAACACGTTTCGGACCGGTGCTGCACATGGTGCAGCACGCGACTTTGAAGCTTTCCGTCTACAAGAGCTTTTCTTTTAGTCCAAAGTTATCAAGTCAAAAGTCTAAGCTCCTACTTTTCAAATGACTCGATAGAGCTGGGCCGACGATATTTGTTTAGGAGATAGCAACTTTTCCTTGCTTCGATTTCAAGCAGAAAAACCATCGTCTCAA